CTTGAAAAATTGTTATTGTTTTTACCTTTTTTGTGGACTTCACTGTCTTCAAACCGTCCATCTGTGATTCCTTTTTAGTCGAAGTTGAAAGTCGTGAATCATGTGCTTTGGTTGAGATTTTATCCATCGAACGGGACTTTTGTTTAACTGTCTGAACTTCTCGAACCTATAGCAGGATAATCATAATATATTACATGGATTCAGTTCACTGATAGAATTGTACTAGCCACTATGCTGTTTTGGATATTTTAATTTTTTAATACATGGTTTATTTTCTTGTTCACGTCAATGAAAGCTATGCTCTTTTGTGATTTGCTATGCATAGACAGTCAGTATATTTTAATATTCTTATGAGAGTCATATTCACAAATTTCTCATATTTAGGTACTAGAGCTAGCACAGGCATAATTGAAACAAACCCAATATAGAACGGGCGACCCCTCTTCATTACCATGAGATTATTGGAACGAATCACTACTCTTTAAGATTAAGTATTCAATATCTGGACTCGTCTTTTTATACTACCTTGATGATTTTCGTGCAACTCGAAGATTTTTCTACATCGCCCATGTGTGAACCGATCTCATCTTCATTGGTATTAGAAGTTGCAAGATTAGGTTCGCTGGGAACTGGGACTGGTTTCGAGTTCATTAAACCGTCTTTGCCTTTTCCTTTTTTATTCTTGGACTGTGGTTAATATACGCAAACAATAAAGCTAAAGCTGTGTCTATGTAAATCACAAAATTAATTCAGATTCAAATTTTTTTAAATATTGCAATACAGCAAAGCACATATAAATAATTTAAAAAGATATGAAATGAATTTGCTTTATAGTTTTTCCTTGGTTATAAATTATTGTATTATTATGATAATATTCAACATACATTTGTTATAATCTCTTTGGGTGCTTCACCTTTCCTCTTCTTGAGAAAGTTTTTTAACACCTTTATAAAATTAAATAATACGATAAATATGCAAAATATCTTAAGTCTGGAATGATTTCTTTATTGTACCTTTTTTGTGGTCTTCGCTGTTTTCACATCGTTCATTTGTGTTTTCATTTTAGTTGTTTTCTTGGTTGAATTTGGAAGAAGGGAAACGCGTTGTCGGAGTGGAAATTTTCGGACCATGAAACCAAACTTGCGTTCAAATTTTGGTATTTTTTGACCCTATAGCAGGAAAATCATATCATAATATTCAATGTACTGACAGAATTGTATAAGACAGTATTTTGGGTATTCAAGTAGCTATGTTGTTGTGTGTTTTGCTAAGCATTGTAAGTCGGTATATTTACTTACTTATTCATATTATTGCAGTACAACCTGGCTTCCATTTTTGCCGTATGTGTTTACTGTACCTATTTTACCTATGTGATGGGTTCCAGTATTGTAAAGTAAAATACTATTATAATAATAATATATATCATACTGATTTTATATTTCCTTTCGGTACTTTATCTTTCTTCCCCTTCACTTGCTTCTAAAAACAATATGATTTACTTAAAAGCATTAAATAATAAATACGGAAAACTTCTAGTATGTGGAATCATCATTTTGTATTACTTTTGACTTCGCTGCCCCCATATCGTTCATTTGCGATTCCTTGTTAGTTAAACTTTTGTGCGATGCTGGAAGATTTGTTTTGAGTGTTTTGCGCGGAATAGAATTTATTGCACGCATCTTGCCATCACTTTTCTTCCGAGGTTCTTGATCCTATAATATGAAATCCATATCCTAATACTTGTACTGTGGTTAATAAATTCAATCATTACTGCGTACATCTATGGAATATGATCTGTCGATCAAATGAAAAATCTCATTTAAAACTTGGTTTTGGAATAATAGTAAAGGCCACTCTTCAATATTTGTGTTGCTGTCATATTTGTTTTAATATAGTTATACAGGGCACTCTGAAAAATTATTATTCCTCTCCGATCATTATACTTCAGAAAAACAGTTTACAATTTTGTTACATCACTATCTGTTGTCATCCATTCATGCTAATAAAATCAATATTATTTCATTTTTTCTCGGAGGTGAAATCTAGACTCATCTTTTTTAATTGCCATAATAATTGTTTTGAAATTCACATTATCCCACCATAATATGGAGTATAATATTGTATAATATTATTATAATTAATTTAATTATAATAATTTTCAACATACAGTTTTTATATTTTCTTTGGATGCTTTATTTTTAATTTTCTTCTGAAAAATGATATGATCTACTTGTGAAATATAATATTAAATACAATAAATATCGTAATTTCAAAAGTATCATTTTTATGTTACCTTTTTTGTGGACTCCGTTGTTTTTACATTGTCCTTCTTCGATTCAAACTTTGTCGAACTTTTGCTCGATGTCGTAAGAAGTGCAGCGCGTACTTTTTTCTGAACTTTCTGATCCTATAGTAAGGAAATGATGTTGTGATACTGCACATATCGATAGCATTATCATTGATCAGTTTTTTGCTTTGCATTTATAGCCAGTATATATTACCTATTTTATTATAGATATGTTTACCTCGACTCTACATTATACGTCGGTACGAAGTTTAAATTTACAGTATTATGGAATAGAATGATATTGGGAAAAATTCAACATACTGATTCTGTAATTCCTTTCGACACTTCAACCTTCTTTTTTTGCTTCTGAAAACGATATAATTTACTTGAAAATATTGAATAAAAATAGTAAAATAACTGGTATCTGGAATCAAAATGTGTAATACCTTTGTGAATTTCGAAGAAAACTTCTCTACCTCTAGATCGCTCGTCTGAGTTGCCTTCTCAATGAAACTTTTGTTTGATTGTGGTAGATGAGAATCGAGTTCTTGGAACGGAATAGGATCGATTACACTCATCTCGTCCTCAATTTTCTCCTGAATATGTTGTTCCTTTTTTGTAAAATCCATGGTATATTACTTGTTTAGTAAACCCTATTGCTCATCAACTGAGTATGTAGATAAAACTTTCAAATAATAGGTAATTAAGGCTACACTTTCTATTTGTGCTAGGTACGTAAATAAAACAGAGATCATCTCCTTTTTTGGTGAAGTAAATTAGTCATGAAACGTCTTCTGTTGTAGTTGCTAATTAAACTAGTTAGATATTAATCTGACTCCAAACAGAATATATAATAGGTTACTTATTCAAGTCGAGATGTCTGTTAATTTGATATAACAGCAAGGATCTAGACAATTGCCTGTATAGATTTTATTTCCTTCGATAAATATATTACAATAAATTAAATCAAATAAACCAACTTACAATTTCAAGTTATTATTCTTAACAGTAGAGATCATCAGATTATTAATATTTGACGATAATGATGACGATCTCTTCTATGTTCGAGATCGCATTTAAAGAGGTACAACAATTTTCTCGATTATTCGAGACCGTTCTTACACAGATTGTTCATGTAAAACAAGGTCATTCGACATATCACACGGGAAATTATTCGCTATTTCGCATGTTATGTTGAAATATCATATTGGAATGTTCTTGAATATTCTCCAATATTTATGACTTCGGAATTATTTTTAGCCTTGATGTCATTATTTCCAAAATTATTGGTTAATTTGTTACAGTCAAAATAATTTACTTCTATTACTTACCAGGATTTTTCCTGTCCGATCAAAGTCTCCGTTTCCGTCCCCTTTTTCGGCGGACTTCTTTTTTTGTCATCTACTACTGGCATTTGATTTGGAAATGTAGGGTTTTCCTCCATGGTGCCGTCAATAGTAATAGATGCAGTCTATAAAAATATATCAGATATGTTGTATCCTATGTTTGCGATACAAGTAGCGTGATAATAATCTTTGCAGTCCGTATCGCAATTCTGCAAATCTTTCTTTCGTATGCGGCGCAAATTTAATGGCAAAAAATTTTTGGTATCACGTACGAAAAAATTGAAACTTAAAACAAAGCTACGACTCTTTTCATTCGAATGAAAATAATGGAAAGATTCGCGACTCTTAAAATGAAATTAAGTAGAAAATTGAAACTCATCTTTTTATAATACCTTGATGATTTTCGTGGAATTCGGTGATGCCTGCACATCGCCCACATGTGAACCCATCTCAATTGCTTTCGTAATTTTAATTACGTGATCTGGTTCGCATGCTATGATTGGCTTCAAATTCATTGATTGGTCTTTGTCATTTGTGTGTTTTTCTTGATCCTATATTATAAGAATAATGATATATAATTGAACTGTAATTAATATACTCGAATAATAAATACTGCATGTGTCACTGATTTTGTTCGACGCCAACTTTTACGGGTTATAAAAATCATTTGCCACGAAAATTTTATTTTATCAAGCTTAGGTCAAGTAAGTTTAGGCAAAAAATTCACCCCAAATGAGAGATCGGTGTTTTTAGATTGAACTTCGTCTTCCCGACCAAGTTTTTTCTTTTTTGTCAATTCATTAGTTTTTGCAACGTTTTCCGGTGAATGGATTGAAGATGTCAACTTTTTTTCGGTAACATCTTTGATGGAAGTGGTTGCCGCCTATAACGTAAAGATGTAATGGGTGAAATGCTGTAAGATGCTGTAAATAAGTTCACGATAATGGCAGCGCGAGTAGGAGTTCCACATGTATCCTATACTGTATTTTTGCTAGCTTGTTCATTACCATATATTTTGGGAACTCGACATTACAAAGTTCCTTACTTCAGTGGGATTTCACATTATTTAAAAGCGACACTGTCACGTAGAATGAGATTCTCTACCTATGTGTGGAAACATTTCAAATATTTGCGACTGTGTCATGTAATCTGATATTTCGTCAAACACTTCGCTAACTATACTATATACCTCCACAATTTCATTGCATCAAGATTCCGAAGCCATGATAAATTGACTCATAATCATGAATGTTTAAATCTTTTGAAAAGGCCAAATTAAACCAGAGATTTTTTGCATATTGAAGAAAAGTAACCTTTGTTTGCACATCTCCTACATCAAGATGTTGTTCATCTGACAAAGTCGTCCTGTCCACTACTGGTGTATGGCTCGGAGACGTTGAAATATCTTCAGCAGCACTTTCGACAGAAGTGCCAGATATAGTCTGAAGTAAATGTCATATGTTTAATTTTCGTGATGATAACGAAAGAAATATTATTTGATGTTGTGTATTTTTCTTTACATATATGGTGTGAACAATGGAACAAGTTGGTAAGGATTCACGTTTATTTTCGCGCGGGAGCAATTATCAATATCACAAGCAGTATTAACAGTATAAACTTACGCGTAAATCGGGATGAGAATATTTGTACTATTATTTGGTTTCATTGATAATTAGTAGCATTAATAATACCTTATTGATTTTTGTTGACTCCGGCATTCTTTCCACCTCGTCCATGCAAGATCCCACCGAATTTGCTTCGTAACAGATTGAAGTTACTGAGTGAGCAATAATTGCAGAAATTTTAGTAGCTAAATCTGATGCAACTATTTCATTTACACTCTTTACTTGAATTGGAAAGGAACCGGGTGTTGGTGTAGGTGGTATGTTTTGCATATCTTCTTCCGATTCCTCCAGGATGGGTGAAAGTGTTTGACGGTATGGATAATATTCCGGTTCCGTATTAAACTCAGAAGACTCGTCTTCCGATGAGTTCACTTGTTCTTTATCGTTAATACCAAGATTAGAAAAAATTGCTAATTCCGGTTTAAATTCACGTGGATATTTGCCGTACGCCCACGAGGGCCTACATTGGAAGTTTTCATTTTCATTTCGTGGTTTTGTCATTTGGTAATCGCCAATCGAAACGGGTAAATGTATTGTTTTTGAGTGCATTTTAGATGGCTCTTGTATATAACCAGGTACAGATGAAGAACCTGCGCTCTTAGGTCTTTGTTGGAGAGAATGAAGTACATGCACGTCAAAAGGTTTTGATGGTCCAGTAAATCTTTGAGGTACTAATGCCTTTAAATTTGGCGAAGAAGGGTATTTTTTGAGCTGTGATTTTTTTAATATTCTCACTTCAGCTGCACCATGAGGAATGTCGGGGAGAGAATTAGCTGAACGTAGAATTTGAATATATTTATTTGCAGGTTTCCTGGTAAATGTCATTGCCATTCTTGATCTGATGGGAGGTTCTTCTTCTGAGTCTAGCTGACTCAGGTCGAGTTTTGGAACACAAAGATTTCTAACTGATTTGACCGGATGTAGCTGTGGCCATGACGACGAACTACGTATCCCTGCCATTGTCATCCTTCCTCTGATGACAGGTTCTTCTTCCGAGTCTAGCAGACTCAGGTCAAGTTTTGGAACACAGAGATTTCTAACTGATTTGACCGGATCTAGCTGTGGCCATGACGCACTACGTTTACATGTCGGTTGTTGTTCGCTGATTTCTTCAGCATGGAGCAAGTAGGGAAGAGAAGATTTTATTTGTAATTCCTCGTTCTTTGCTATCTCAGGAATCTGAGATAAATTTGGAAGAGATGATGGTATGTTCACAGATTCTGTGTTCCGAAAATGGGTAACGACTGTACATGGCCCAGTAACTGGATCGTGAGAAGAAGATGTTTTATCTCCTTCTCCATCATATACTTTGCTCAAGTCCAGTTTCGGAATAGCAATATTCGGATCTTCTTTTGTTTCCCTCGATTCGGCGTGTATTAAATCAAGATTTTGGGTTTGTTCGCCTGAATCGGATAAAACCGAACTTGTAGCAGGTGGCTGGTTCAAATGTTGTGGCAATTTCAATCGCTTGATCAAATCTAACAAACAAGCAGAAATATGCAATTGTGAGAATTCCCTATCAATTGAACTCGGACTCAGGTAAAATAGATCAGGGCTGGAGGGTGTAGATCTCGGATGTAATAATTTCCCACCATTTATTTGCACTCCTGCTTGAAGTAAATTTGGATACGACACACTAGTACGAAATGCGAATTCGCGGACTTGTAATTCTTTTTTCTCAATTACCAGACTTGATTCAGACAAAATCGATGCTTGATCAAGGAGCAAGTTTGTGTCTTCCTTTACGGGGACAAGTTGATTTTCATCAATTTTTTCAACAAGAGCATGCGATAATGGCGACTTTGATTCGCGCGGTTGTCCACCTGTTACATCAAGATCCGGTTCTGTAAAGCAATCTTCCATGTTCTGGGATTCTCCCTCTTTGAAATCGATCATTCGTGGAGATGAATGTCTTGCTGGCATTGACATTTCAAAGTCTAAATGATCTGATTGTTTGAAAGAGGCAAAAATGGGAGAAGCAGATAATTTTGATATTGCAATTTCATTGGATTGCTTTCTCAAGTCTGGGCAGGATACAGAAATGTACAAATTCGATTCCATTTTCACCAGTACTTCACTTTGGTGAAATAAATTAGGTAATGAAACTGACATCTTCAAACAAGATTTTGCGGCGAGCATTACAGATGAACTCGATCTAAGTCCGGAGACGTGTTTCGATGTTGTTTTCCCGAATTCGCCATCGACAAACTGGCTCGTTACAATTCTTGTGACAGACTGGAAAGCAGGTGTATTCGCGTCGATATTATTAAGTGCGAGCATTGGCGGTGTCAACATTGTCCTTCTGACTGCTGAAACCGCATAAATCAGGCAAAGATGGCAGCTGTGATGGTATTTTCTTTCCTTCTCATGGCGAATCAAACTCGGGCATGAAGCAGGAAGTGATCGTCTGGCCAACTGCAAAATTTCCGATTCCACCTTTTGATTCAAACAGATCTGAGCACGACGCAGAAACATGCAAACGCGATTTCATTATGCCATCCAGTGTACGAATACAATTTCAGATTCGGACAGGAGACGGATACTTTGAAATATGACGAGTTCGCGATGTGCAGTTCCATAACTCCTTGCATAGATTGGATACGATGCCAAGTGTGAAATGATGTTTGGCGATAAATCATTTGGCAATAAGTTCTTTTTTAATTCGGCGTCGGAGGCGCAGGCCTCAGAAAGATTGTGGAATCAGCGCACGGCAGACTTTTCTAACGACTATATTCGTCATGATATGCTTCTTTTGGCATCTAACAAGGTAAAAATTTTATGAAGAAATGAAATCAAAAACTTTTGCAACATTTCATGCGTCTTCATTTTTTTGGTGTTTCGAACTATTGTGTCGAGTTATGGACGAAGAAAAAAGCTAGTTATACTTGCTTGGATATCGTTAGAGTATATAATTATATATAGTGGCATTTATCACTTTTTTGATGACCTAAAATGGGAGAGAGTAATAAACTACTGACGTGTTAAAGATGTGAGCTCTTTTTGATTTAAGTGATCATTCGAGGACAACTGATAGCTTTTTCAAAAAAAAAGGAATGAAACTGTTGGACGTGTTGGTATACAAATATTTTGTTTATTTGTTTTTCAAATATTTTGCTTTCCTGCAGCTATCATCATTCGACGTTTAATATGTTACCTGTGAGACAGTGCCGGAAGTAACAGTCTCATTCAAAGTTGTAACTGTGCCTGCAGACGGATGGGGCTGTTGGTTTTCGCCCATCGACTTGGTGACTACACTTTCCAAACAAGGATGGTAATCAGATCCAGTTTCATTTTCTTGGACTGGAACCTAAATATGAAAGCATTCGTTTAAAAGTATAATGAAGATTTAAGGTAACAGAATCTGAACACAACAGTATTAGCAGCAACGTGGTATGCAATCTTGGTCCCTACAATCAGCCTATACCCTATACTATAGCATCATTCTATATTTGCATAAACAGCGTTTTGGAAGCCAAGACAGCAGATCAAAGCTCACACACAATGCAGCATTTTCCCGGCTCTCAAAGGGCCACGCTTTTGACATACAGTCTAGTGGCATAATTGAGCTCACTAATGTTTGACAGGTGCGGAAAACGCAATGAGACTCCACGCAAACAACAACTGCTTGCGTCTAATCGCTCTGTCGAGAATTATATCTATATTTTGTTTTTCTAATACGATTATTCTATTTGTGTTGAGATCATATTTAGTTTCATCCCAACGAGATTGTTGGACAGGAAAGTATAATTGTGACATGTGTCCCCCCACTATCAATCCGCAGATATAAAAAAAAAAAAGTTAGGCTAATGGATATAGAGTTTGGTTCCAAACTAGTGAAAAAAACAGGAACGAGCACAAAAACAAAACGGACAAGGGCACATTCTTTCATGAGGCACAGGAGATCTCAAGCCCCGGTACGTGAAGATTACAGCTAGGCTACTCGGAATCCATAAAAAACATGTCTAACATGAAATTAATGACTAGATTGTCTTGGAGAAAGGTTTACTCGAGTTCGTGACTTAATTAAGGGATGGGGCGTTAGTTAATGGGCGCGCAGAAATGACGTACGACAAGTATCAATTGCGCCTACAGAATTAAACGTGAAGTAAGACAGAAGTAGGTTTGATCATTAGGATAACGGGTAATTTTGGAAGTACAATAAAGAGGAAAGATTTGCTCAAATTTAGGACCAGCAGTTTTATAACAACCACGCAAATCCATGCCTAAACTGAGAGTAGGAAAATGGTAAAATTTATCATCCTCAACCGAGAATTTATCGGCTGGTTGCAAATAAATAGCGGGAAACTTACCGACAAGCCCGTCCCTATTGGCATTATTGAGTAAATGACGTGCTCATATATATATAGAGAAATTATATAACATATATTTTTTACCTTATTCTTTTTTGCCAGTCGAAAAATTTTCAGGATCCATAACAATCCTGCAAGGAAGCAGTTTAAGGATGTGGGCGAAGGTCCCGAACCCTCGGAGTTCTTCGAATCCTGCAAAACAAACAATATTCAGCGATTCTAATGGGTATTCATATAATTATCATTTGAAGTTGTTTATGTGTCTAGAACAGAAGTGCACTACACAAGGCACGCATGCCCAATGTGGCACCTCGAAGTTCGAACGCTGTTCGTGAACGTTTTAGTAAAAAATAATTCTGGAATTTATATTAAATCATAATGTTGATTCACACTACAGTAGCAAGGCGTTAGTTGGGTAGAACGTGATTTTTTATATTTAGCGCAAATCGCGTTTGAATCGTGATCATTTTATTAATCGACACATACCTAGCTCCTTGTTCTATCAGAAACAGTAATTAACAAATAGTCCCAATGTCTAATTTGACAACATTTTGTTAACCCCTATGAACTTTTCTGTTTTCAAAGTGATTTGTAGGCTACGATTTGCTTTTCGATACTAACACCGGAATGCTTGTATACTTTCGCACTGGATTTTCCTATTGCGGGCATTCTCAATCATGCAAATAAACAAATCTCAGCTACAGACTTGATTTACGGATGAACATTGGTCAGTGGTTCTCAACCTTTTTGCAAAAGAAAACCATCCAATTTATTGAGAAATTTGCGGCTGTCTTTTTGATATCACACGTGTTAAACGCGGTTCTAATGAAGTTTCTGCAAGGCAAAGTAGAACATTGACTTCCACATGATTTGGTTAGCTTTGCGGGTTTCATTGCGTCGTTTGAAAGAATTCTGGCGCAGTCTAGGCACATGGGAAGCGGTACTTTTTTGCTGCTGGGAGCAATAGTGAAACCTAGCTCCAAATACTTATCACACTGCCTAATAAGGTCTTCCTTTCGTTTTTTGCTTGTTTCTTCGTGATCCATATCAACATTGCTGCAAGGTCGTTTCGGGACATGTTGTAAAGTTGAAGTAGCAGTCCCTTCCTCTATCCTGTCAACATCACTAACTTGGTTTTCACCGCTGGGTTTCTTTCGAAAGAACTGGATTATACTTTGTTGTTTGTTTGCCTCCATTTTACTAGCAAACCTCGCTAAATTATTTGCCCACTGTCAAATTAGGGAACGTGCGAACTGCGAAGTTCTCAATCATGTACCGTACTATGTGCCATCAAACTCCTCCGTTATGACGTTCCCCGCCGTTATGAGGTCATAGACTTAAAGAACATCCAGCCGTTCAGGGTTTCAAGTGGACAGTGGACCTCAACCAAGTTTGGTTGTTAGAAGAATACCGGTACTGCGAATCAATAGGAGTTGAAAAATCGCAAAATTAACGGACATGCCGTCAATCCTTTGTCAAGAGTGTGATTCAAATTAGCAATAGCTGGCGACTTTGTATTTTGTACACTCTAAAATTGGGGATTGGATTAAAAACTACCGACAATAACTAAGGTCAGTCAACACCAACATTATTTTTCGAAAATATCAAAAAATCGTGGAGGTACAGTTATCGGTAGAGATTTTCATATATCTTTTATAGTGGACGGAATAATCTCAGATTTGAGAATCCCAAAATTGAGGGTCGGATTGAAAACTATCGACTATAACAGACTAAGGTTAGTCAACACTAATATTTTTTTATTGGAAAATATGACGAAATTATGAAGATACAGTTATCCAGAAAGATTTTGGGCCTCTTGAAGTATGCGCACCAAGATGGCGCACAACCTGAACTCAGGTTGTGTACCAGGTCAGGGTTCAGGTTATGCGACACTTTGGTGCGCATACTTCCGGAGCACCAAGATTTTAATATAGATTCTATTGTGTACGAGATAAGGGATTCATCGATGTGTTTGTTATTAGGTGCAAATATTCTCGTTACCGCAATAGAACGCAATGATCTTTATAATATATATATATTTAGAGACCATCGCAACTTCTAATGAAGTCAATGTTTTCCCGAGCATACAGTTCCTCCTTGCTACGTGCCCTTTATTGTGCCTACAAATTTATGTGAGTGTTAGCTGGGCAGAATTCTCGGTTAGTCCAGGGGTCGGCGAAACATGCATTGGACACCTAAGTTTGAGGAACGTTTTCATACGACTAAAGAAGACAAAGTAACGATCATTCTTGATCAAGCAGCGTCATTCGGGCATGTGCATTTTCTAATCGAAAGTTCAATGTTTGGTTGCTACATTTCGCCCAAGTTTTGAAAATAGTCACATAAATACATTTAAAAATGTTCTTAGTTATTCTGAATATTCTAGAGACCAAAACATCTAGGTTTTAACTTCGTTTTATCGTTCACAATTACTTTATATACTCCAGTTCGATTTCATTAGTAACACTATTTTGCTAGAAATCAGCAAATATTAGAATTTAGCAGTTCATCCCCTCACCTTCTTTTTGTTAATTTTAGGCTTGGCTCTCCTTTTGTTAGAAACCTTTTTACTCGAAGTTTCTTCTTCTCGCGAAAGGTCGTTTCCGACGTCCACCTTTTTTCTCAATTTCATTATTTCTACCCCATGATTAAATGAGTTTGAAATTCAGCGCCTCTCATACAATAATGTATTTTAAAATGGCCTGATTTTATGCGAATTTAGTGTAAATATAATTTCATGTGTCTTTATGACGTCATAAGCAATGTATTTCGATATTTTGTTAATGGTGCGTTGGTTTGGTTATTACAGTATACCGCAGAACTTTTTTAGTACGATCACTGAGATCTATTCATGATCATTTGCATCCGCACATTAGAACATAGAAGTTAGTTGTCTCATTGCCTAAGCCCTAGGCCTAAAGCATAGAGTATTGCCCGATATAAATAGTCCTAGCATATATCCGAAACAAACAAAGAGACAATACAAAACGGACGAACCCTCATTCGAATTCAAGGCTTAGTAACATTTGGCATTTCTACCATACCATTGCGGATGAATACCAAACAATTTAAAAAAATAAATAAACAATCTGTATCATTTATTTAAACCGATTTGAGAAGTACAAGGGATTGCGATAAAAAAAAAGTTTTTTTTTTCAGCAAATTTACAATGACTTCTGACAGAAGGTTTACAACACCTTCCTTCGTTCGATGTTTACAACACCTTAATATTTCCAAAATCAAAATACGTGTGTTGAAAGAGGGCAGCTGACCAAACACGAATTGCAAGTAAAGTTTCTACTGTGGATCGTCAAAACATTTTATTCTAGTAGGACATCCTTCTTACAATTTAAAATCTGTGGTCTCTAAACATTTCAATGAAGCTTTGCAGGGAACTTAATTAGGAGAAAAGCATTGCGCTGTCATTCAATATTTGAACCAGCCCAGCGTGCGAACAAGCAAAAAGATGAAAATTACATTCATTCTAAAATCAGGACACCAGAAAACTTTTAATTATTTATCATGAGTAATATTGAACTTCGATTCTTTTGATGGCTTGATCCAATGATGTTGGCACTGCATATTCTAATCATGTGTCCAGCATCTCACCCAAGTGTAATAAATCCAGCACCATGAGCAACGTCAACCTGGGCTTGGCGGTATTTAAAAGACTTGTTTAAGACTAACAGCATGTTAAATAACTTTAATACTGTATGAAGTTTTTTTTTTTCTTCGGGTTGCCTATTTTTTGTACAATTTATTACTATCACTTTTTTCCCCATTCATTTCATGTTGATACCCGTCCAGCGTTTAATTTATTTTTCTAAATGTACCTTGTTTAATATTATCATTCGTTATATTTATTCAGCCATTATGGAAAAGTTATGGCGGGATCTTCTAATTTTGAATGTGAGTTTATAGGCCAAATCCGTAAGGGTTTTCAGTTATATCCAGTGAAATTTACGGGCGATTCTGCTAAATATTTTTAAATTCATTACCCTGAAATGTCAGTATTGGTTACAGTAATATGTAATGCAAGACAATTGTCGGCGCCGGTGGAAATTTCTTAGAGGGTTTAGAAAATTTTGACAAAATTCATAACCTACAGTACAATTATAACGTATTATAACACCATTCTGTAGGCTGTGTTGTCAACTCTCGATCTATATGGTCTATATGATCTATATGACAAAATTCATAACCTACAGTACAATTATAACGTATTATAACACCATTCTGTAGGCTGTGTTGTCAACTCTCGATCTATATGGTCTTGTACAATAGAGGTCAGGAAACATCCCGAATCCATGAAATGGAAAGTTGTGGCATAGGTTAGTTATTAGCTGTTAGATGGCTGGCTTCGCGATGATAGGACAGCTGGCCTATTGTTCCCGCTTTGATTGGCTAGCCGTGGGCTAGTTTTCGTAGCCATCAAAACCAGATGTATGGTAATATGAATGGATTTATCAGTTAGGAGGGCAGGAAAAAAGAGAAATGGAAATCAGCGAGGCACGAGAAGAATAAATTAAGAGGAAAAATGTGAATGGGATGAAAAAATCAAAATCGAGTCTGGCTCATTGATAGGTAACGTACGTTGCAAAATAAAGCAACTCAGCGTGTATTACCAAGTTGCACGTTCAAAGAATTTGTAAATCCAGTAGCGAGGCAAGGAAAATTAGGATTGAAGATGAGAATAGGAAAAAATCGAAGACGCCCATGTCGGTCGATCAGTAAAATCAGCGAGCGGCCCAGAGAAAAATTAAGATGAAATAAAAGATAATTGATAAATAATAACGATCAGCGATAGGCCCATGGCAAATTCAGTAAAAATGATGTTTTATTATCTACATGTTTCTCACGAACATGAAAAAAATAATATATTCTTATATATATGTGCATCGGAGAAAAAAGATCATGGTGAATATTATCAATGACAATGAGGCCTAGCTTTTTTGTGAATTTGGAGTAAGCGTCAGAAGCACTCAAGAACGAATATTATAACTTCCAATAATCTTCCAGAAACTGATGTCGTCAGAAAATCTTGGAAATACAAAAAATTATATGTATAGTAAATATTTGTTGACACGATGCGATTATCACTTTTTATGTTATTGGACTAAAACATAGAAAAAGCTTTCAATTTTGCGGGAAAAATGTCATAATATAGCGGTGTATTTTAACAAATAAATATGTACTCCTTGTTCTCAAAACTGACAGAATAGGTTTGCTTGGTGGCAGAAGGAAAAAAATTATCCATTGAACAGATGAGATGGAGAGCGACGAAAATACCGCCGACCATAACAGAAGTTAAACCAATGAAGTACACAAATCCAAGCTCTGTGAGTTAGACAGAGAAGCATCCTAAAAACAGGTCAGGTAAGCAGAAGTGCTAAGATCTTCCAACAATAATGAAATCTACAACACTGAGAATGCATAAGTCAAAAACTTGTCTATGCACACGACACCAAAGATAGCATAAGCAAAGAGAACAATGAAAAAAGAGAAAATCTAGCTCCGCCATCATACCTTTTTATGCTTATCCTTCGAAGGCTTCTTTTTGCGAGAAACTTTTTCACTTGAAGTTTCTTCTGTTTGCGGAATGTCGCTTCCGACTTTTGCTTTCTTTTTAAATTTCATTATTTTTACCCCATGATCATAGGAATTTTAAATCCAGCGCCTTCCATACAATAATGTATTTTAGACTGGCGTGAATTTGGGTGATTTTAATGAATTAAATTATTAATATTATTACGTCACAGTACATTGTAGCACGAGATATTTACGCCGAATAATAGCATAACTTGAAACTTCCGGCGTTTGTTGCTCATATAGCAAGAAGCTCACTCAAGTTATGGTTTCAATTTTTAATGTTGAATTCATTATCTAATAGAATTATGTACATATGAGTACATATGTATTGTACTGTACATATGTACATATAATTTTCATCGAAACATTTAAAAGATTGTTGGTAATGATATTTCCCCGACTCCTAACCCATTCACTTTATACCATTGCAAAATGAGGAGTGTCTTGAAGATTTGACACTCACAAATTGATTTACATGCTCAAAATCATTACTTTTGAATAAATATACAACCACGTGCCGCTTACAGGTACTGATAGCTGATTTCAATCTAGTATATATATCGCAGCTTTTCCGGGACGAATATTTGACGAACAAATAAGACGCAAAACGCCGGAAACGAGGCAATGTTTACAACCATGCTTAAATATCTGTCTGGGCGAACGAAGTGTCTGAACGGCAGAAAAATTATAATTCATCGTTGACTTTTTGCTGATTGTGAATCGTCACAGAAATAAACAAGGAAGTCGACGCTTGGAGAAACACCCATTCAACACAATTCCCATAAACAAATTTGTGAAGCAATGTACATCACCACCATGACGTTATATACGAAATCAAACATCTGTGCAGCAATTTGTATTCGAGTATTCACGACAACTGGAGTGCTCAAAAATCCCTCGGAAGAATGCGGTTTAGCAATACATAGCAGGTATTGCAGGGCCAGATCATGTCTTTCGGGTGTCGTAAACACTTGAGACTTCGATGCCCTATATACAGTGCTTAATTAACCATTAAGCAAAATAAGAACCTACTTTGGGCACCATCGAATTTTCTATACACAACCTGCAATAGAATCCCAAGGAATGCATTTATAATATAATGGAAAACTGCTTGACCATAGTCTTTAAATTGATTAGACCAGTATTTAATCAGAATCGGGCCTCAGTGTATGATCAGAATGAATAGAAATGTACATCGCACACGCACGACGCAAGTTACTGCGTTTCATATTTAGTGCCTGCGGTAGCATGTCACGGGCAAATGAACCACAAATGTAAAACGGGATATCATGGAATATTTACACATTCAATTCTTAAATTAAAGCAGCGCAACACAATAGTCCCAGACGAACGGTATTTATAGAGGCATGATACCTGCTTCGGATAAACTCCGTATGTTTGATGTAATTTTTTCGAGGTTATTGGCCTCGTCGTGGGCTGTCCGGCGTGACGTTGTAAATTAAGTTAGATTCTGATACAATCGCCCTCGTCAGTAGCATTGGCTCAGGGGAAACGTAGGGACATGGTCAAACATCAGGCGAAGTAAGACAGTAGGTTCGAGCCCCGCAAGCTAGACTGAGTTGTAGGGATGGGCCAGCAGACAAGGCAGGCGGTCGAGATAGGAAAGGGATTCGGTGAGCAAGCGAGGATAACAGCCAAGGAGCGCAGAGATTGAAAGGCGGGCAGCCAAAACATGCGTCGCCATCCATGGAGGAAAGTGAGCCCAAGATCGAGCCAGTACAACAGCCAACAAACAAGTTAACAACGGAGATAAATGAACACCAGGGAGAGGTGCCAGCTGAGCTTCAAGGACAGTAGACAAGACAAGAGGCGATCAAGCCAGAACAGCAGTCCTAAAGGAAATTTTTTTACACCCCGAGAGGCGAAACCGACAAGCAAAATAGAACAGCAACCAAAAAGAGCAGAAAAAAGGCCAGTTACCATTTAAGGGAAAATATGAACCAGAGAGGCAACAGGTAAAACAACGGGGAGATAAATTAGCAGCAGAAAAAGGTGTCAGTTGAGCTGCAGTGATAGCAGACAAGACAAAAAGCGGTCAAGCTAGAACAGCAGCTCCAAAGGAAATTTCATAAACCCCGAGAGGCGAGGCCGACAAGCGAAATAGAGTAGCAACCAAGGAGAGCAGAAAGAAAGGCCAGTCGCCATGAAAGTGAAAATATGAACCAGAGAGGTAAACAGAGCTCAAGGTCAAGCCAGCGGGCAGTCCCAAAAACCAACCATCAGAAAAAAAATCAGAGCGGATAGACCTTATTAAATAGTGTAAAATCCACTCTTAAAGCAGATAAAATAAGAGCGATAAAATACGATGCTTACTCTGGGACAGCCAAAACCAAGAAGAGACCGACGCTGTGAACCCACAGCACAGTTCACATATGCAGTGGTGGTTGGAGTCGAGTAACTGGATCCAACTATTGGGCAAATTAGGGCTCAGACTCCACACACCAAATCACCAATGCATATGCAATAACCAGACAAGAAATATAAATAAAATAATAAACAATGAAAAAAGGACAATTCCAGTCCCGCCACATTCATTAGCAAGCGAGCAAAAAAGAGCAAGGATAACATGAACCAGAGAGGCCAAGCGGCAGTCAGACATGGAATAAAAGAGGCAGCCCAGTCCAGGAACCGAGTAATTAGAAAGCGAGCGAGAAACCAGCAAAAGAGCAAGCGGCAGTCAGACAGCGAGGCCCAGTCAGGACAGGGCGGATTTAAAGCGAGACCGCAGACATGAAAATGGAGATAAAAAGAACCACCAGCAGACAGGGGTAGGCCCCCGGAACAGGCAAGCAAGATCAGCAAAGAGTATTAAAAGAAAGTAACACCAGCAAAAAAGAGAGCAGACATGAAAGTGGACAAGGGGATCCAGGAGAATAATGACACGAGTTCTTTATATTTTACAGGCACGCATTTGGCATCAGTAAGAATCTCTTATGTTAGTGCAATATTGTCCCGGGGTTACATACGTCTGTGGACAAGTAGGCTATACGTCTAACAGTCCGACCCTGAACTCTATTCTAGTATTGAACTACTAAGTTCAAATTACATAACCTGTGGTTAGTCGATGTAATAAATTGCTCATTCCGATAACCGTCTCTAATGATGTAAAGGTCGATATTCTCCCGTTTTTTTTTTCAACTAGTAAATTCCCGAAGCATCATGCAGAAAAAAAAGCCATACCGGCGACAGCACAAAGCGCAACATTTTATTTTTTGAATCCGCTTTCGCGTGGCGATCGTCGGATAATGGGAAAGAGACGCCACCCATGCAACATAATAATAGTCTTATTAGAACAATAAACACTCGTTGTTCATTAAATTTAAAGTGAGTAAACTCGCGATATTTCGATCACTTTTGGGTTTTCTCCGACTTGCGGCCGGCGAGACCTCCTCAAAAGTTTTTGCGGTCCTTCAACCTAGCAACCTTGAACAACCCTGAGGTAGACAACAAGGTACCGGTAAAATTCCAAACTACAGTTGTGACTTGTGTATCCTTTGGTATTGGTATTTCGATTCACGTTGACACTGGAGGCATGAATCTTTATTGCCACACTCCCTCGGGATTAGTGATTCATTGTTTTTATGATTAAATTACACATGAGGGGGCACCAAAGGGGCCTAATCCGCCCCTGCATCTGGAATATGTAGGCCAACTTATTCCATACAAGATATGGACTGTTACCAGACGAGAGGCGGTATTACCCCATATGATTAAGTCGTCTTATCTACTTTCCTCTCCTCTGAAATTATCTGCACCAGCGGATAATGCATACGTGAACCTCTATCTCTGGATACTGTTGCAAACGACTTCCAAAATAGCATAAACAAATGAAACAATAAAAAAGCGTGACACATTTCAAAAATCCCTCGGAAGAATGCGGTTTAGCAATACATAGCAGGTATTGCAGGGCCAGATCATGTCTTTCGGGTGTCGTAAACACTTGAGACTTCGATGCCCTATATACAGTGCTTAATTAACCATTAACCAAAATAAGAACCTACTTTGGGCACCATCGAATTTTCTATACACAACCTGCAATAGAATCCCAAGGAATGCATTTATAATATAATGGAAAACTGCTTGACCATAGTCTTTAAATTGATTAGACCAGTATTTAATCAGAATCGGGCCTCAGTGTATGATCAGAATGAATAGAAATGTACATCGCACACGCACGACGCAAGTTACTGCGTTTCATATTTAGTGCCTGCGGTAGCATGTCACGGGCAAATGAACCACAAATGTAAAACGGGATATCATGGAATATTTACACATTCAATTCTTAAATTAAAGCAGCGCAACACAATAGTCCCAGACGAACGGTATTTATAGAGGCATGATACCTGCTTCGGATAAACTCCGTATGTTTGATGTAATTTTTTCGAGGTTATTGGCCTCGTCGTGGGCTGTCCGGCGTGACGTTGTTAATTAAGTTAGATTCTGATACAATCGCCCTCGTCAGTAGCATTGGCTCAGGGGAAACGTAGGGACATGGTCAAACATCAGGCGAAGTAAGACAGTAGGTTCGAGCCCCGCAAGCTAGACTGAGTTGTAGGGATGGGCCAGCAGACAAGACAGGCGGTCGAGATAGGAAAGGGATTCGGTGAGCAAGCGAGGATAACAGCCAAGGAGCGCAGAGATTGAAAGACGGGCAGCCAAAACATGCGTCGCCATCCATGGAGGAAAGTGAGCCCAAGATCGAGCCAGTACAACAGCCAACAAACAAGTTAACAACGGAGATAAATGAACACCAGGGAGAGGTGCCAGCTGAGCTTCAAGGACAGTAGACAAGACGAGAGGCGATCAAGCCAGAACAGCAGTCCTAAAGGAAATTTTTTTACACCCCGAGAGGCGAAACCGACAAGCAAAATAGAACAGCAACCAAAAAGAGCAGAAAAAAAGGCCAGTTACCATTTAAGGGAAAATATGAACCAGAGAGGCAACAGGTAAAACAACGGGGAGATAAATTAGCAGCAGAAAAAGGTGTCAGTTGAGCTGCAGTGATAGCAGACAAGACAAAAAGCGGTCAAGCCAGAACAGCAGCTCCAAAGGAAATTTCATAGA